ATTCGCTATTAATATTCATCTACATCTATATTCAATACATTTTTAAGTTTTCTTTTAAACTTGTAATCTATCTTTAATTGGGCTCTAACCATTTGATGGTCACTTCATAGAGAAATTTTATTAAATTATTATTTACATTGATTATTATATACATTTTCCGCTTATTCTAGTTTTCTTGCCTTGTTAGTAGGATACAGTGAAATAAATGGAAACCACACTTAAGAGTAATGCTCTGGTAGAGTTTTATTAAAGTCGACGATTCATTTCGGATCTTATATTGATTGCTACGTTACTCACATCAAATGAATGCGTTCACTAGCTTGGCCATATTATGCTCAACCTTTACTTTTTATTATTTTTATAGTTTTAATAAAGAATGATTATATTAAAACGAGAACCACTTATGATTTTGATCATACTTTCTTTTTTAAACTAGAGTTTTTCTTATTAATTTTCTATATTGGCTACATCGGGTTATATTTTTTTGTTATTGAGAAAAATTAAATTTATGTTTAGACCAATTATAATTCCGCCTTATATTTACACAAATGTTTTCTTATGAATTTCTGAAGAAACTCTTTCTAAAGCTCTTAGCTTCTTTATATACCACTGAATTTGTGTGAAGTTTTACTTGAAAATTTAAAGTAATGAAACAACTATATCTTTAAAGAAATTTTATATATTTTCGATAATTAAAATTAAGTGTAAAAAACAACCTTTAATACTTAATCTTTTTCAGAATCTGCATAAAGTTTATCAGAAAGGTGTTAAATCTGGCATTTGCTCACGTTCTGCGGAAAGTCTGAAAGTTGCGATAAAGTCTATTTCATTGGCAGTAGATTCGGCAGAAGTATTCGGACTTCTTGGACACAACGGTGCTGGAAAAACTACAGCAATGAAAATAATTACAGCTGAAGAAGCACCAACACGAGGACGGGTAAATATATATTTTAATTACATATTTAAGTTTAAACTGCACACAACCAAAGTTATATAGAATCATTTAATATTTGGTATTATTTGAAGTCTCCATATTGTCTCCAAAACATCCATCCATCCACCCATGGCTTTAAACGTGAATGGTAACATTATCGAAAATGTCGAGAAATTTCGATATCTAGAGTGCTGGATAACGAAAGATATAGATCCAGACATAGAAATAAAATCGCGAATTGAACAAGCAAGAAATGTCTTTTTAAAAATGAAACAAATGTTTACGTCCCAAACACTCAATCTCAAAATCCGATACCGAACGCAGAAATGTTACGTTTACAGCACCTTACTGTATGGAATGGAGGCCTGGACCTTCAAAATCAACTCACTTAGGCGTTTGGAAAGTTTTGAAATGTGGTTATTTCGAAGGATGCTGAAAGTCCCCTGGACAGCGCATATGAGCAACGAGCAGGTCCTACACAAGATGGGTACCGACAGAGAACTCTTAAAAATAATGAAAACACGGAAAACCTCATATTTGGGACACATATACAGAAATGAGAAATACCAGCTACTGCAGCTTCTTATAGAGGGGAAGGTAGAAGGAAAACGTGGTTCTGGTAGACGGCAGGCGTCCTGGTTGAAGAACATTCGTGAGTGGACTGGTTTGGATTCTCAATCTTTAATAAGAAAAGCCAGGGACAGAAATGATTTTGCTGAGGTTATCGCCAACTTTCATTGAAGACGGCACCCAAGAAGAAGATTATTTGAAGCAAATTTAAAATAACCAACATGCTAAGTAAAACAATAATAGTTTTAAAGCAATCACCAATATATAAAAATTAAAGAAAACAATAACAAATTGAAACTATTTGTTTTAAAGTCAATAGGATAAGCAATTTCAATGTAAATCGAATATTTTTTAAATTGATTTTATTTATTTATGTTTCGTTATTAGTCAGTGTTACCACCAGTAGCCCTTATGCAAGCTTCAATTCGAGTGAGCAGGCTCCTAAACAAATTGTCGTCAACATTTTGTTGTGGTAGGTTGTTGTATTCTTCAAGGGCAGCTTGTACTAGCTGTGCATTATTTTGTGGATTAACCCGACTAATTATTTTTTGACCACTTTGGGACTATTTCGAGCTGCGGTCAATAAAGTTAGAATTGCCATGATAGTAGCCAACATCCGTAACGGATAGGCACCACAAGAAGAAGAATTATTTTTTTAAGCATATCCCACTCTTAAAATTCTCTATGGGGTTAAGGTTGGGTGAGTAAGCAGGCCACCCCAGAACAGTGATATCTTCTGGTTCAAGTAAGTTTGTGGTCACTCTGCTGGGATTTTGAGGTGCATTAAAATTAAATTTTCTCTCATTGCATCTTTTTCGCCTAGCTAGAGATTCTAGAACCAAATTTTCATCCTTGCGAGCTGTTAAAGTTGGTTGGAATTAAGGAATTTTTTCGTCTGTCGTAATGCCTCCTCAGAAAGTGGCACCTACTTCTATGTATTAGTGAACAGGTCTGGCAATTTTCGTTCTTGCTTGTCTTTCTCGCCCTCTAAGTACACGAATTCGTCGGTGATCTGATTTTATACAAATTCTGGTTTCGTCTGAAAATAGCATATTTTGTGAATTTTCAATATTCCAGTATGGTGTTGAAGACACTAATTTAAGCGAATAATTCTTTGCTGCCTCAATACCTGGAATCTGTAACTCTCTACCACTGTGTAGCCCTTGCACATAAAGTCTCTTTCTATTATTTCAACTGACACACTTGGACCTATAGCTTACAGAAGTTGGCTTTGGAATTGCGAGTGAAAATTTGTTGGGTCTATTCTAGTAACCAGCCATTGTTAATTTTTGGAAATTATTTATTGGTCTATTCTCAACCATCCAGCGGTGCGGTCTAGAGTTCCGACTATATGTATAGTGAATCAATTATCTTTTACTGTACCGAATTTTAACAAAGTGCTTTGTACATATAATTACATGTACCAAATAAAGTGCTTCGCTTTGCTGCCCCGTGACGGTTTTATACGAAGTTCCGTAGTGTCAGTAACCAAGTATTAGTGTATCACACAGTACGGCACCGAAATCGTACATAAAAAATTGGACTAACCAATTATCAATGTTTATATTATTCATACAAGTGCTATATATAGCCTACAATTTTGACAAAGTAAGTCTAAAAGTTTAATAAAAAAATTATCAACCAGTAACTCCGAGTTTTTTCGAAGTTAGTTTGTTGTTTGTTGATCTTGTCACAACAACTTTTCGTTTTTTCTCCTCCGACATCTAAAATTTGATCACTGTGATACACGAGAACCAGAGAAGTAAATAAAAACTGCTTCAATAATTTCAACATATCTCAATATATGACCATAGACGAGATGTTAGTAGCGTTTTATGGAAACTATCCATTTCGACAGTATACATCCTCCAAGTCTGCTAAGTACGGATATATGTCAGTAAACAACAAAATAATTCTCCATTAGAATGCCCAATAAACATAAATTAATATTCAAGGTCAACTTTACGTCAACCAATCCCCTGTATAAAAAGTGATGCACTATAACTACCTCGGTACCATAATAAATGAATAATGGATAACAACCAGGAGATTAGAGCACGCATCGGAAAAACTAGATCCATCTTTCATCGGACAGGGGCCTTCTTCAAGAATCACAACCTCTTTCTTGATACAAAAGTAAGAATGCTGCGACGCTACGTCTTCTCTGTCCTTTTTTATGGTGTTGACATGTGAACCTTGAAAGAAGATATGTGCAGAAACTGGAAGCATCTGAGATGTAGCTATATCGGAGAATGCTTAAGATCCTGTAGACTGACCGAATCACAAATGAGGAGGTCCTCAGAAGAATGAATAAGAATCTAGAGGTACTTACGACCATCAAATCTCGAAAGTTACAGTTCTTCGGACATATTGTGCAAAATGAATCCAGATATGCTCTTCTTTAAGCCATCCTGCAAGGAAAAATATTTGGAAAACGAGATTCAGGAAGAAAAAAAAAACATCTTGGTTAAAGAACCTCAGAATCTGGTTTAACACAACATCTGTGCAGCTTTTTCGCGCGGCTGCAGATAAGATAAAGATTGTCATGATGATCACCAACATTCTTAACTGATAGGCACATTAAGAAGAAGAACATTCTTGGATTCAATACGAAAAAATAAGAAACAGCTACCTACCCACTTTATGAAGATCAAGGTAGACCAAGTCCATCAAGTATAAGTTTAGCATCACACTTTTTAATACTAAAGAAAGGCGTTCTTTTGGTATTTTCCATGACAATCACGAGATTAATGAAACTACACAAAAACCTATGATGATTATTGACTATAACAAAACCAAGGTAGGAGTTGACATGGTAGATCAGTTATCATCAAAATACAATGTAGCTTGCAATACTAGAAGATCGCTGATGGTAGCCTTTTGCGCTCTACGCAATGTGACAGGAATTAAAGCATTTGTAATTTACAAATGCAATAAAAAGAAGATAGAGCATTTCGCGGAAAAAGTTTTTTGACAGAACT